ATGGAGAACAAAAAATGTGAAGATAAGATAAATCCACTGATACAGAATATAATTCTATTTCTTATTAATATGCATTAACTTTAAGAAACTAAGAGTAAGTAATATTGAATATATAAATCTCTGTTATATCTCATAAATTACGTGTCTTAAATAGTAAGGTGTTATAGATATCAAGATTTTTATTCCTGACGCTAACATATTAAGCAACACCTTCAGCTTAAATATCACGTCCTTAGCTGTTGATAGAACGTTAAACAAAAATAAAACCACCTTGAATTTGCCTCATATACAATATGCCAATTGACCTGGGCCATGTTTTTAATCATGATGGAAAATTTCGGAAAATCCAGCAGAAAGACGCAAATTACGAAGGAAAAAACCTACTCAGTTTAAATGTGTAATTAAAAATCAATTTGTAATTTATGTAAATAACATTTTAAGATATGGGTCTGAAATATGTGCTTCCAACAAGCTCCGGATGTACTGAAAATTGCTAAGAAATGACGTAATAGTATGGCTTTACTTGTAACATGGCAGATACCTGGTAGCACTTAAAAAACCCTGAAATTATCTAAGCACTAAAGTTTATAAAAAAGAAAATAGGGAAAGAAGACAAAGAGACAGGTGATTGTGTTCACTGACATATTGTAAAGTACATGTAACGTATCTAATATGACGTTATACAGTTTTATCATAGAATATAGTTGGAGAATAGAAGACTTTGATAACGTTTACTAAAATATACTTATAGGAAGAAGTATTCATACATTTAGGCTAGAGGGAGAAGTAAATAACTCATCTTCAAAAGGAATGTTGTATAAGTATCGACAATATGGATTAATGTTTATGGCTATTTAAGGAGAGACTTATATGTAATATAAGTGAGGCAATGGTATGTGACTATACACAAATACCAATATTAAGTTATCTGACCATCAACTAAATATATAAAAACGAAATCATACAATTGCGGAGAGAAATTGAAGAGTTTCTGATGTGTGTAATTTAAATTATGTATGTGACATTTTTTTGTTATACTCAAACGTCCTCCACTGGCCATTGTACGTATACACCGACACACTGTTAGTGGTCTCACCTAGTAAAGGTTGTGAACTTACTAGAAACAATTTGAACTTCTATATACCTTATTCGAAAACGTGTTGTTGAATTTTTTTATTGGGAGGAAATCCATCAATATATTTACTGAACATAAAAATCACCTAACAGGGTGTATATATTTACTGAACATAAAAATCACCTAACAGGGTGTATATATTTACTGAACATAAAAATCACCTAACAAGGAATATATATTTATTGAACATAAAATCACCTAACAGGGAGTATGTATTTACTGAACATAAAATCACCCAACAGGGAGTATGTATTTACTGAACATAAAATCACCCAACAGGGAGTATGTATTTACTGAACATAAAAATCACCTAACATGGAGTATGTATTTACTGAACATAAAAATCACCTAACAGGGAGTATGTATTTACTGAACATAAAATCACCCAACAGGGTGTATATATTTACTGAACATAAAATCACCTAACATGGAGTATGTATTTACTGAACATAAAAATCACCTAACAGGGAGTATGTATTTACTGAACATAAAATCACCCAACAGGG